CAGTATCCAATATGTCTTGCTCCTGTTCCTGTGCTACTGTTGGAAAAAAAAAAAAAAAAAATTTGTCACTGACCTGTAGAAAAGATAGAACTAGATGACCTATAAAATGTCATCCTCTGTATTAATCTATGTGATTCTTTGTGGTATTTGTCTTGTTCATCTCTTCTCTACCCTTGCTGGACACAGAAAGCTATAACTAAAAATTTGATTATATTCAGTATGAATATAACATCAGTGATGATAAGGTTAATTTCTCAGCTCTCCAATGGAGCTACCAGCAATTTACAAAGCATTGAGCTATATTATGCATTAAATATCTTTTGAGGGAGTAACCTGCAATCTCTATGATGACTTGAAACATGACATCAATAATTAAACAAATACTATAGAATCTTCAACAACACCTCTAGGAAGACCTCCTTTAGAAAACAAACTGAACGTCGCCACTTTTGTTCAAAACTGGACCTTCAAATCACAGTGCTTTTCTCTCAATGTCCAGACCCATGATGCTGCTGCCAGCAAAGTTGACCACAGTACTGTCCAGTGTGAAAAGTGCAGTGACAGTTCCTGGTCTCTGAGGACGTTCCCCCAGTTCCTCTGCTTTTCCTCTCCTAACTCCATGGCCTTTCCTTCTGTAGTCCTTCTTTGAATCCTTCATGTTTTATTCCCCCTAGGGAGCTCAAAAATGAACACAATATTCCGAGCAAGTACTGTGAGACTTAAATTTGATGATTTAGGGAGTTCACAATTGTGAAATGGATTTGCAAATTTGAATCAAGAAACTTAAATTCAGAAGAACATTGGCCCCAAGGATCCATGAAACATCAGTTTTTAAGTCCTATTTTGAGTACTTCTTAATCTACAGCAATTATTGTTCATGAAATCAATCTGATGATATGATGCATAGAGAAGTCATTGTGACTGCATCACAGTAACGTTCCACTTAGTGAACTGCTTGAACCAAAACTCAAGTGTGATCAAGGCTCCCTGAAACCCAGCTGACCTGCAAATCTGCATCCGAACCTCCTACCTGGAAAAAGAAATGACCTTTGAAAATCAAGTTGAAAAACATAGTTAGGTATCTCAATGACGAGTTCTTTGAAAGCACAAAGCGGAAGTGAAGAAAGTATACAAAGTACTGGCTATGGGGGAAGGGGTTAACTTGAATCAAAACTGGTTCAAGTTCACCAAAGTCATTTTCCTCAAAGTAAAGCAGACAAAGTGAGGACAGAAATCTCCAGCAGCCAAGGAATGTTCAGTTGTCCTCAGCTGGAGTGAGGCCACCCCAGTCTTACAAAAGCAGGTCTCTGCCAGTGATTCACAAATACTCATTTACTTAGATTTGAAGATCTTTCTTAGAAGAGGTAATAAGCTCATTTTATGAACATAAAGGACAGGGCAACAAGTAACATAGGGAAGTAAATATCATCTTGATGCCAGGAAGATTTTTTTATTACAGTAAAGTATGCATCACATAATTTTACCATTTTAACCATTTTCCAGTATACGGTTCATTGGCATTAAGCACACTCACATTGTGTTCTAACCCTCACCACTATCTTTCTCCAGAACTTTTTCATTGTCTTAAAACAAAACTCATACACATACTAAACAGTAAGTCTTCATCCCCCCCCCTTCAAGCCCCTGATAATCACTATTCTACCTTCTGTCTCTATGAATTTAACTGTTTGAGATCCCTTACACAAGCAGAGTCATATAATTCAATAAAAATTACAGGAGGCTGTTGTTTTGCACAACGCTCCTGAGCAGATCAGGCTAAAAATCAAAATGGGTCATTGACACTCAAGTTCCATGGCACCAAGCTGAAACTCAGCTGCTTGTTTGACCTTCCAAGAAATTAGGATTACAGAGATAACAGCAAAATTTCCCAAACAGGCCAGTTCCAACTGGCATCATAATAAACTCCCTCTTCTTGAATCCCTACATAGAAAAGGCAACCTAAAGTAATGTGATGTTGACCAATCAGTTAGTTTCCTATTGCTCCAGCTCTCTGTTCCCGCCTTACAAGGAAAGCCACTTTGAAATGACTAATTCGCTTTTTTTTTCTTTTGTTTCTGCTGTCTTCAGCCTTTCTGTGTCTATAAAAAACAATGTCTGCTTCTGGCCCATTAGAACACTTGTATTTTTATGGAATGAACTGCTGCCTGATTCTAGAATCAAGAAAAAAAATCCAATTAAGATCTTTGAACTGTTCCAGTTTTGTCCCTTGACAATACAGCCTACAACCTTCTGTGTCTAGTTTATTACATTTGGCATAATATATTCAAAGTTCATCCACACTATAGCATATATCAGAATTTCATTCTTTTATGAGACTAATATTCCAGTGTATGCGGAGATCACATTTTGTTTACCTATTCATCCAGTTCAATCAATGCACAGTTGTTTCCAGCTTTTGGCCATTGTGAATAATGTTATGAATATGGGTGTGCTGATACTTGTTCAAGTTCATACTTTCAGTTGTTTTAGGTGTGTACCCAGAAGTAGAACTGCTAGGTCAGAGAGTAATTTTATGTCTAATTTTTTGAGGATGCCCATATTGTTTTCCGTAGCTTCTATACTTCTTTACATTCTAACAAGGAATATAGAAGAATTCTAATTTCCCAACATCCTGGCCTATACTTGTTATTTTCTGATGCTTTTTTGTAAAGGTAATCATTCATGAGTATGAATGGAACATTTTAAATAGTCCTGTACCATGGTGGAATCAGCCTTCTAACAGATTAGATCAATGGACATGTTCAGCTATGCAGGTTATACACTGTACAAATATGTTAGGTCTCAGGGTGAATATAGACTAAAATCCAGCATGTTTCATTTTCCAAGATGCAAACTCCCACTTCTGGGAGAAGGCAGAAACTTTGTATTCCTAGAAAATATTTCAGCTTGCCAAGCCATACCCAGAGGGTCACCTATTTTTAATATAGACTAAGGCACTCACAAAAGCCATTCGTTATACTGGCTGGCTGACTCTCCCCACTGTAGATAGAACAGATTAATGCACAGGGTACCATCTAATCCAACTGGATGACTGGCTGTCAAGATTCCTTTCCAATGGTGGTATTTTGTGGATCTCTTGGATGGTTTTACAGAATAATCCCCAAATTCAGACACTTCTCATATTGACAGGCAAGGTCTATATACTCTCCCCTTGAATCTGGGATGTATGACTTTTTGACTAACAGAACTGTGCAGAGTTGACATGGTTAAAAAACTGGCAGCTTCTACTTCCTGTCTCTTGGGACACTCATTCTTGGAACTCAGCCACCACACTGTAAAGAAGCCCAAACCACCTTGCTGAGAGATGCATGTGGAGAAAAGCCAACACCCAATACCAAACAAGTGAACCCTCTTAAAAATACACCCTCTGGGGCTGGCACTGTGGCACAGTGGGTTAACACCCTGGCCTGAAGTGCCAGCATCCCCATATGGGTGCCTGTTCAAGACCCGGCTGCTCCTCTTCTGATCCAGCTCTCTGCTGTGGCCTGGGAAAGCAGTAGGAGATGACTCAAGTCCTTGGGCCCCTGCACCCACGTGGGAGACCCAGAAGAAGCTCCTGGCTTCAGATCAGCACAGCTCCAGCAGTTGAGGCCAATTAGGGAGTGAACCAGTGGATGGAAGACCTCTCTCTCTCTCTCTGTAACTCTGACTTTCAAATAAATAAATCTTAAAAAAAAAAAAATACACCCTCCCAAGCCTGGCACTGTGGTGCAGCAGGTTAAGCTGATGGCTGCAATGCAGGCATCCCATATGGGAGCATTGGATCCAGCACCCTGCTAATGCACCTGGAAAAGCAGCAGAAGATGGCCCAAGTACTTGGACCCCTGCCACCCATGTGGGAGACCTGGAGCTCCTGGAGACCTGGCACCTGTTTTCAGCTTGGTCCAATCCAAGCCATTGTGGGCAGTGAACCAGTGGATGAAAGATCCAGCTCTCTCTCCTCCTCTCCCTCTCCAATTGCCTCTCAAGCAAATAAATCAACAACAACAACAACAAAAGGTGCACCCAAGCTCTATGAGCAGAGTTGATATGTCTCAGACAAGCCCTACCCAAATTGCAGATTGATGAGCAAAGTAATGACTGCTGTGGCTTTCAGCTCCTACGTTGCAACCAGACAGCCTGTGATACCAAGGGACCAGCGTCCCAACATCAGGGTTCCACCATGTGCTGACACCAGCAGGGCACCGAGAGACCTAGAGGTAGGCCTTTGCCTTGCCTCCAATTTTCATCCTCCCTCATCTCGCCTACCACTCCTCAGTTTAGGAGAAAGTCCTTGCCATGACAAAGACACCAAGAATGACCTTCTGCAGGGTCTGTCCCTTCATTCTGTGGGTTTCTTTAAGAATGCTGGGACTCCATTGAGCCACACTCCCTGGGCTAGGAGCCCAAGAGCGCTGCTTCAAGGACCAGGATGGAAACAACCCTCACTTGATCCAGTAAAATTTGCTGCCCACAGGACTCCCTAATTTCCTATGCACTGAAGAGGCAGCCCACAGCCAAGGAAGGGGGGTGGGGCGCAGCAACATAGAGGATAGCACCCTGGGCCCTGGGTCTGGGTCCAGTTGCTCCATCACAGATCGAATTCACGGGCACCCACTGATCCAGGGGCTGAGGGACTCCGCAGGGGGCCTCCCTCCTCGCCCCCATCCCCCCAGCTTCGTTTCAGGAAGGAAAGAGTTAAAAGACCGTGGCCCATCAGCTCAGTGTCTGTGCGTGGCCGCCTCCCCGGAGGGGTGGAAGGCTGGATCCCAGAGCGCAGCCGAAGGTCTGGGAGCCTGGGAGGGACGCGGAGGCCGGGCGGGAGGCGTGTTCCTTTGCAGCTGCCTTTTTACTTGCGAAGCCCTTGCGCGCCGACGCTCATCTCCCGGGTCTGGCTGGCGGAGAGGAGCTGGAGACGCTCCCTCGGACCCACCCGGTCGTCGCCGGAGGCTGCAGGCTCGGCGGGACCGCCCCCGGAGAAGCCGAGCCCTGCCCGGGAAGTTTGCCGAAAGTCCAGGCAGCTGTGCAGCCGGGGCCGCCGCCGCGCGGGAGTCCGGGACACGGGCCACGCTCCGCGGCGCCCAGCCTCGCGGGTTCCGGCCGCCTCTCGCCCAGGCGCCTTGCGGACCCGGCCGCCAAGCAACACGGTGGGTTCACGTCTTTCCTATCCGGACAGGGACCCGGGCGGCGTGGGGAAGCGACGCCTGGACCCCTCGGTGGGGAGGAACCGGGGGCTGGGGACCCACTGCGCTGGGGGCTGCACCCACCTGCCCAAGGGCGCCCCTTCCGAAAAGTCTCGGGGTTCAGGGAGCCGATCGAAAGCATCTCACCTCCCCAGGCGGGATTCGGACCTTGAGTGAAAGGAAGCCCGGAGCTCTCCCTGGAGTCCCCTTTCCCCGGCGTGAGAGAACTTTGAGGAACATCACGCCCAGTCGCTTGCTCCAAAGTCTCCTCCGGAAGCAGGCTCCGGTCTTTCCTTACTGGCTTGCTTCTCTGCTCCCCACACACCCCGGGGAAGCCAAGGGTAGCCAAGGGCGCTCGCTGGGTGCGAGGGACTGATGTCCTTGGAAACCCCCAGTGCTGGGGGTTTTCGAAACCTGCCTGGGGCGGGGGGCGGGGGTGTTCTGGGCGTTTTGTTCTGGCATTCCTTTAAAGGGCACTTGTTGCCTTTCACGTGCAGGAAACTTTCTAGATCATCAGTCCTTATTTACCCCCACCCTAATGGCTGACCCCTGATGGAGTAGGGGCTGGGAAGGAAAGAACAGCCCGGCGCTGTCACTCAGAGGAGTTGCTAATTTCTTACCCAGAGAGCAAAAACCACAGAAAACTTGTAAAAAAAAAAAAAGTTCTTAGTTTGCATGGGTTTTTTTTCTCCACTTGTTTGTGGTCCTTTCCCTCACTCCACTGACACCCCCCCCACACACACACACCTTTTCTACATGTTAACTAACTGAGAAACACCTTGGCAATCATGTAAATTACCTACACTCATGCCATTTTGGTAAGTTTGGAATTTCCAAATTACTAATTCCAGGTCAACTTTGATCCTGAAGACCCAATATGTTAAATGGCTGATGTGTATTCATAAGGATTCAGCTCTCTTAATAACAGCGCCTGCAGTCTGGCAAACTTGTAGACCCCAAATAAGAAGAACCCTGCATCTACATGCCCTTCAGGCTTTGACCATGCCCTTCAGGTTTGAAACCCAGCTGTTTTGCTGCAGCTGTGACTGGTGATGACTGATGGCTGAGAGCACCGCTTCACCCTGGTCCCCAGAAGCTAGCTGCAGACCCGTCTTTAGAGGAACACGCACTGGAGAGGGTTCTTTGGTTTGGTTTTGCATGTTTTGCCCAATGCCAATTATGTCTTAGTTTTGTAGCTTGATCTGTGTGCAAAGCAGACAGAGATGTCATTGGAAATGATTTCTTTGACGGTGCCCTTGTTGGAAAAGGGAAGGAGGGCTGTTTTAATGGTAGCTGGCTCGGGACATAAGAAGCCACAGCCCTGGCCTTCGTGGCTCCTGCCGGGATCAGCTGACCAAGCAAATCAGCTTCTCATGCTGAAAGCGCATGTGGAACCTTGGTGAGTGGCATGATACCCGCCGCAGCCAGGTCGACTCACGAAATAGCTTCATGGCTGACCCTAACGGGCAAACAGCCATTCCATTTCTCAAAAAGGCCTTCTTGTTCACATTTCTCAGAACCCTGTTACTGAAGGTTCCATTCCGATTGAGAAACTGAGAGGCATTAGTCACTAAATAGCACAAGATAGAAAAGTATTTAGTTCTTTTCTCCCGTTTCTGTGCTCTCAAGGGGAGAACACTCAGCTTTGCCCTTGGGGTCCTGGTCTCCACTTTGGGATGGAAGTGGTGGCATTTGGTATCATTATTGGGTCAGATACTCACTCCTGGCTGTAAGAAAGATGGAAAAACTACAAACTACTTACAAGTAAGCCCAGCCAAAGTTGATAGGTATGTGGTGTGCATGTACCTTTGAACATTTTATACTTTTTATTATTTAATCAGACTGAGTCAAGTCCTATGGCTCAGTGAGGTACTCGTATTATAACCGTCCAGCCGCTTCCTCGTAGTGGATTTCCTCAAGACTCGACTTCCCCCTGAGTAAGATGGTGACGTCACCCCCTCTGCCTAGAGTTGTGATGCTCAGGGCTGACAGCAGATACTTTTATGATGTGTTACTGTACGTAAAATGCTGTGATTGTCTCCAGATCCTGAGGGGGAAACACCGCTGGGAAAGACCAAAATATGCAGTACTCGCACTTTATATTTACCGTGTGCCCTCTCTACAGCTCAAATCAGTCCTCTTCTATCTACACACTGATGAAGCCTAACCTTTACTGATTCCCAAGATAACTTTCAAAATTCCTAATCTTGTATAGACTTGGGAATAGGACACAATTTTTAAAAACTGAATTATGACCTGGGCACATAGGTCATAGATGCATACAAACACCATTGCATAAATGAGATCGTCATTTCGAGATTCATATAGTCCCGCAGAAAAGGAAATATGTGAAATATCAAAACCAGAGAAGTTGTTTTTGTTTACTTTTGACTATTCTGTTACCACCAACCTCCCTTGTTTGCCCAATGTCTTGTCTTTAAGGATTCAAAAAAGAAACCTAGACTTCCTGGGCAAGAGGGACCACTTGCTGCTCTCTGCAAGTACTTAAAAAAAAAAAAAAACGAAAAAAAAAAAAATACACCAGATGGTCTTTCGAAAATGTTTAACCACTCTCCCACGTCTGTTGCTTCATCTAAACTTTGGAGACTTCTTTAAAACATTTTAGGTACAAATAAGGCACAAGAATGAGAGACAGGATGATCTAGTGGTGAAGAGCTTGGGCCTGAGTCAAGCTGACCTGCCCTGGAATCACAGCGTGGACACCCACCACCTGTGGCCTTGAGAAACTATTTCACCTGCCAGACCCTCTGTTTCCCCTAAAAGGGGTCTTCAAAAAGTTTATGGAAAGTGCATGGTATGAAAAATTTATGCATGGGTTCTAAAAGTATTTTGCATCAAAATAAGCTTATCTTGTAATTCATTTTTTTCCATTAACTTTTTGAAGTCCCTTCCTCCTTCCCAGGATCAACGTATGGATTAAAGGTCTTTAGGCATATAAAGTACTCAGCACAGACTGAAATACAATAAATGCAGCTATACAGGATGTTTAAAAGTTGGCCTAGGAACAGATATCTCTGGAAAAGCCAGGTAGTATAAGAAGACTGGGCAAGTCCATCACTCCCACTTTGCTCATATCATGATAATAATTTCTAGAGAATGGAAAGGTGAAAACCTAGTAGAACATGTAGATTTTACACATAGATCAAGGCTTTCAAAATAAAGATGTTGTCAATTATATCATTTTAATCGAAACTGAGATTGTTAAATGCGTTCTGACTTTAAATTAGCATTTTTAACACTTTAGATGGCTACCTGTGCTGCATTTTTATTTCATTTTTTATTTAAAAGAAACAGAATCTTCATCTGTTGGTTCACTCCCCAAATGCCTACGACAGCTAGGCCTCGGCCAGGAACCCAAAACTCAATCTGTGTCTCCCTCATAGGTGGCAGGAACCCAACTACTTGAACCATCACCTCCTATGTTTCAGGGTACACTTTAGCCAGAGGCTAGAACTGGAAGCAGAGCTGGGATTCAAAGCTAGGCCTTGTGAAATGAGATGCAGGCATGCCATTTCATCTCAGTGTGACTGCTGAGTGAAATGTCTACCCATCATGCTGCATTTTATTCTTATGCTCATTATTCACCATGATTAAAATAGCACATATTTTGGAACATTCAATTTTTAATTTCAGAATTCACAATTTTATGCCTCAATACTATGCAACTTTTACTTGGCATTTAATACGTTTTCTCTTTCAGTAATAAAATTTTGTATCACACTGAAGACTTCTAATTGAGGGTAGAGGAAAAAAATACACTTGAAGGAAAAACTGACATATCCTCTCCATATCATGATCTAGATATCAGTAAAGCTATGGATAGAGATGAGGTAAAGAAGGAGATAGAGGTGGGGATGAAGATAATACATATGATGGATATAGAGATGAAGACGGAGATGATAGGGATGGAGGTGGAGGTAACGTAGGTGATTGAGACAGAGGTAGAGATGGAGATAATAGAGATGATAGAGGTGAAGATAGGGATGAGAAAGGCAAAGAGCTTGCCCTAGTACAAATTCAATCTTTTCTGGCTGTGTCATGGCATGAGGTGAACTATCATGGTGTGTCTTACCTAATTATCTAACATATCCTATATTTTAATTGATGCAGTAAATAATCACTGACTGTGACCTTTTTAGCAGATGAGGTTATAAAAAATTTTCCTCTTTTTCCAGGTGGGGAAAAAAAAAAACCTGAAGGTATAAAAGCAACACAGTGAGCAACATTTCCTCAGATTTTCTCTGAAGATGGAAACCTTTTGCCTCAGGGCATCCTTTTGGCTGGTACTGATTGGATGTGTGATCAGTGATAATCCTGAGAGATACAGCACAAATCTAAGCAATCATATGGACGAATTCACTACTTTTCATGGGCCAGAGCTCAACCTCCTGGTCACCACTCATCGACCCACCAATTTGGTCCTCCCCAGCAATGGTTCAAGGCACAACTACTGCCCACAGCAGACTAAAATTACTTCAGCTTTCAAATACATTAACACGGTGATATCTTGTACTATTTTCATCGTGGGAATGGTGGGGAATGCAACCCTGCTCAGGATCATTTACCAGAACAAGTGCATGAGGAATGGCCCCAATGCGCTGATAGCCAGCCTTGCCCTTGGAGACCTTATCTACGTGGTCATTGATCTCCCTATCAATGTATTCAAGGTAAGAAGTAACCACAGATGTATTTACAGGTTTGAACACATGCTCAGATTCCACTGCAGACTTTGGAAGTCTTTGGACTTGTGATCTCTGGTTTTCCTGAGACTATTTCTGCTCTCTTAAGACCCAGTGGCATTCGTAAATTTTGCTATATGTAATATGGTACACTTATTTTCTAACTTAATTGCCAGCAAAATAGTATTTCAAGGTTGACTCTTCAAAATCATGGTTTTCCATGAATGGAATTCTCATGTTAGCTAACCTCAAGCTTACTTGTTAGATGGGCAGTTTCAGAAAGACCACTGGGTTTTTCTGAGATTCAGTTTGCTAGGCAAGACCTACTGGGCCCAACAAGTACTTAACATAAATATATTTCCAGTCTTGGTTACTTTCTAATACCATGCTGTTCCAAAGGCAGATATCTACAGGACAGCTTGAAATGAAAAGTACCTATTTTGCATTGGCTCTCTGGGTTGACAGTTAAAGCCAAAGGGCATGCTAGCTTTTCTCAGTTATCTGGGTGACTTAGAGATAATGGGGTCCATGTGATAGCAGGCCAGGCTTGGCCTCCTTGAGGAGTTAACTAACTAGAACCCTTGAAGATAGGCCTGGAGTCACTGCTGTTGCCTTCATTGCTTCTGTTTGCATTTATTAAGTACCCACTGTGTGCCTGTCCCTGACCTAGGCAATAGGGCTCCAAAGAGATAAAGGGAGTGTTAAAGGAACTAGATATTCCATATCTGGGCTAGTAGTTATGAAGGAAAAATAGCTGCAAAAAATCAAATATACTTAAACGCCAATGAAATTGCATGACGTACCTTATTTTATGAAATGTCATTAAACTCAGAGAAGGCAACTTTTCTCAGTCTTTTTTTTTCTCCTGCATATTAACCATAGAAACACATTAAAAGGGCATGGATATTCTGAAATATTACTTTAAATGCCAAATTTCATCAGTTGAAGACATATTTTATATTTCTGATAGGTACACTTAATCTGTGTTGAAATTATACACGTCTTTTAGAAACGTCAGTGGCCTACCCATAAAACTAAAAACAATGATTAAAATTTTGAACATTATAAATAATAAAAACCTTTCGAAATTACACCACACACTGTTTGTAAAATTGAAGAAATTAGACAATGAATAATAAAAAAGAAACATCCATCTCTTTCCACAGAATAGCCTGAATACATGTGTTTTGTATTTGAACTTAAAACAAGATTCTGGAAAAGGAACTATGATGCAAAATTGAAATTAATTTTAAATGTTTAGCATATGCACAGAGCCTTATTATTTCCACTTTAAAAAGTTATTTTATTTTTATAAAACATTATGTATATCCAACTCTTGGTTTTTCTCTTTAATAATAGATTTGAAAATGTTGACATGGTTTTTTATTCAAAAACTGACTCTTCAGCAGCCACAGTGTGGAGTATTAAACACTGATTATTCCTGTTTTTGTGCAAGTTAATCAGCCCATCGTGGCTGGAAAGGATAATTAACCGTCTCTGAGGGAGCAGCTCCCTGCTATCACTCTGAAGTGCACTACTCAGATTTGACCACGTGCAGAGCAGTTTCTTGCCAAATGTGCATCTGCAGCTGCTGGGAAGGAGACCTTTATCTCTTTGAGGAGCTGCCGCTGATCACCAGACTAAACCTCCTTTCTAGCCAATAGTCGTATTTTAGGTCAGAGTGTCTGGAAGACCTCCACGTGTGGTGAAATAGCCAAGTAAAACTTGGCTTTACCTTCATATAACAATGGATAAAAGTGTGTGCATTCTTACTGGACCATGTGATTCTCCCCTCCTGGGATTCCAACCCCTCCAATACCCATTGTAGTTCTGAATTACGTAGACAGATTGACTGGGATGATTTTACATCACAGGAGTATATTTGTATAATTCCTGTTTTTCCAAAACTCATGTAATGAGTCATTTTGGGCAACATTAATTTTAGAAAGTCAACCTTTTGGTTTTAAAAAAAATACTCTTTAGTCATTTCAGTCTTCTTGCAGAAGCGAAGGGTGGGGGGAAGCACTAGGGTGAACTAAAAAGCTTCAAAATGTTCAGGGGTTATTTCTGCTTCTTTGCGCCCGTCCTCTTAAGAGCAAGAGACCGTTAGGTACTGCTATTCTCTGACTTCTGCCCAGGAGAGTCAGGAGCTCTCCTTCTGGCCAGTGACAGAGCCCTGTCCCCACCGCTGCCTCTTGCTACAAGACTCTGATGCTTTGAAGTCTCTCATATATCAGACCTGCGGATGCCTCTGACCAAGTCAAGTGTACTAGCTCTGTATTGCAGCACAAGGAAGCCATTGTCTGTCTTACTTTACCATTATGCTTAGATATCTATAAAAATAATGCATAGACATAGAGAACATTCTGTTACAGGGATGAGTGAACCTTCATTTTCTCTCCCACTATTAGAAGAATTGGGTCAAAAGTGTCTGCTATGCTTTTCAAAAAAAATGCATTTTCAACTGACATGTGTGGTTGTGTTTAACAGTTCTATTCAGTTTTATATTCAGTTCTTTGGTGTCTCCAAATAGAGATCATTGCATTGAGTCATATCAGAATGGGTGTAAGAGGAGAGGAACCTAGAGTTGCTGATGAGACTACAGCAACGAGACAATAAAAAGGAGAGGGCATAATAAAGTGTTCCTTCTAATAGCATTTTCTTCCTTTTCTCACTTTGAAAGAGATTTTCCTGAAACTATGCCATCAACCAGTGTGACAGAAAGCACACTGAGAAGCAATGCAGAGTGTCAAACCGGCAGCTATGCAGGCTGGCTCTGGGAGGTCTGTGGGCGTGGGAGGGGGGAGGAGTTTCTCCATACCTGCACTGCCAGAAGTTTCTTAACTGGCCCATAAATCTCCATAGTTTTTTCCCAAAGTCTACCCTGGACTCTGCTTCTACTTCCTGAGTGCCACTGCCTCCTCAGAAGCAGCCAGGAGCTCTGACCTGTGCCCACGGCCTCCCACACTCGGCACTCAAGGCCCTGCACGCTGCGGCCGCATTTCACTACTTTTTCCCCGTTCTCAATGTGCATGCTCACCCCTTATCGGCGTGCCATCACCATCCCTAAGGAATATTCTTTGCCCTAAATGACATCCTCAGAGACGCTGGGTGGAGTCACCCAAGTTCTGCTGTTGAAGCATTCACAGATCCTAGGTTGAAAAAATGAGTCCAATCTGCAGTTAGATACATGGCTTCAAGAATTAACCCAAAAATGGAAAGAAACCAATCTGGTGTGCAGACACACACACAAGCATAGTTGACAGAAGAAAATCAAGTAATCTAGGAAAATAAAACATAAGGCAGAAGAAGAAAATAAAAGTGAATGCCAGTTGCCTTCTAGGTTTTTAAACACACAAAGGCTTGGCAAGGGGTAACACTGAAGAAAGCTGTTACTATGTTTATCAAAAGTAATTCTGATTTTTCACTGGGGGTGGGAGAATATGTGATATCAATTAAAAGAAAAGATCTGACAAAAACAGTAGGGAGGGAGGGAAAGGAGTTAGCTGACGGCTTCATATACCTGAGCTTATAATCTAAACTGATGACAGATTTAATGTGTAAAGAAATAGCATTCTATGATATCCTAAATTTTCAAGAAATACAAAAAGTTGGCCAGGTAAATTTATCTGTATATAAAATATTTACATTTTGTTAGAATGGCAAAACAAAATATTTCTTTGTGTTCCAGGACCAGAAATAATCTCCAATTACTAAATAGCAACGTGGTGTACAAGTATAGAAATTAATCATTTTATTCTTCAGTGACTCATGAGGCTAAATTTATGCCACAGAATGTTGTCTGTAGGGATATGGGCTATAACTTTGAATAGAGTGGAAACCCTTGAACATGGGGCCAAAGCTGGGTGGTATGCTGTGGTCTAAAGATAATGGCTCTCCCATGAACCACCATGCCTTCCCTAATAAGCAAAAACAGGAATGTGGAGAAATAGTTAAATGACAGATAGGGATAGAATGGTGGCCATAGAAAGAAGCAAGAAGTTGAGTCCAGTGGCTTGGCATCAACTTCAGTCATGCATAGCAGGATATTGAAACTAGTGATGCTATAGATAATAAACAGCAGATGAATTGTCTCCATTTGGGATATAGCATAAAGCAAATCTATGAGAATCACAGTGACAGCATCCCAGTCATTCTGACTGTTGATTACTAATTCTGTCCACGCTAAGCAACCAACTCTTATTCAGGACAACAGTGAAAAATAACCAAATGCAATTTCTGTATGAAATTATCAGGAGTATTTTGCAATGAAAAGTCAAGACTCTGAATATGTTGCTCTGGCAGAGGATCTGAGCCATGTGGCAACCAGAGATGTTCACATAGAGCTAGTTATCTTCGTATTCACACAGCCTTTGACATCTCGTGCAGCTGAGATCCATCCTTTAGGGGCAGCCACACAAAAGCTGTTTCTTGACACATCAAGTCACCATAGCAATGTCTGTCTCAAAAATAAATTGCCACAACTTAAATGCAGGAACTTCAAAAAGTACATGAAAAATGCATACTTTTAGAAGACCGAATAGATTTCAAAATCCTATTGCACCAAAATGAATTTCTTTCAATTCCATTTTTCCATGAACTTTTTAAAGTCCTCTCAAGGCCGGCGCCGTGGCTCAATAGGCTAATCCTCCACCTTGCGGCGCCGGCACACCGGGTTCTAGTCCCGGTCGGGGCGCCGGATTCTGTCCCGGTTGCCCCTCTTCCAGGCCAGCTCTCTGCTATGGCCAGGGAGTGCAGTGGAGGATGGCCCAGGTGCTTGGGCCCTGCACCCCATGGGAGACCAGGAAAAGCACCTGGATCCTGGCTCCTGCCATCGGATCAGCACGGTGCGCCGGCTGCAGCGGTGGCCATTGGAGGGTGAACCAACGGCAAAAGGAAGACCTTTCTCTCCCTGTCTCTCTCTCTCACTGCCCACTCTGCCTGTCAAAAAAAAATAAATAAATAAATAAATAAAAAATAAATAAATA